GGACCAGCAATATTTTGGACAAGATTTACAACGGAAACCAGAAAACTTTGGAGAATCTGAAACCACAGAACTACCCGAGGATACTGATGCCCCGGAAGAACACGAGTTGGAATCAAAATCGGCGGAAAATGAAGCAACCGAACCTCAAGAAGAGTCTGAAAGGGCTTTAGATATATCTGAATCCGAAACACCTGAAGATCCAACTACAGAAGATTCGTCTGCTTCCAAAACAGTCATAACAGAAGAACTGAAACCGTCATCTCAACTAACATTAGACGAATCGGAAACAGAAACATCCGAATGGGTGTCAACTACAGAAGAGCAAAGGTTCAAGCCAGAAGACGACTCGGAGGAATCAGAAGAAGAAGATATATTCATGACTCCAGAATATCCCCCTGAGTTCGTGACAGAATCATCAAAAGAATCTTCATCTACAGCGCATTCATCCGAATTCGCACCACAAGATGCTTCATTGAAACCAATTAAATTCGAAGCGACGTCTGAAAGAATATCAGATAAGTCAGGAACAGAAATTGCTGGAGATAATGTTACAGGACTGGGTTTAGTAATGAAAGATGACTCCAAAGAGGCGGAAGTAACCATGCAATCAGAACCAGAATCAGAAAGGGCATTAGACGGTTTCATAACAACAGAAATGTTAGAAGAAACCACCACAGAAGAGACAGCACAAATACCAGAAGGAGATAGAGAATCAGTTCTAGAAAATAACTCTGAAGAAATAGAAAAAGAAGATATTCATAAGGAAATAGAATCACCATCTGAAAGGCCCATATTTGAATATAAAAAACCAACATCGACTGTCGAAACTACCATAGATCTAACTACAGAATATCATGTCTTGGAGAACAAATCAGAATCGGCATCTGAAAAAACATTGAATGAATCAGAAACAGACCCATTTGAACAAAAAGAAAATACAAAAACACCATTGAGACTTGTGTGGGGAAAGGTCTCAGAGCTTTCAGAATCGCCATCTGAAAAGACCACAGAGGCATCTGAAATTAAATCCTATGAACTATCATCTTCGAAACAACCAATTATAGGAGATTCGATTAAATTCGTATCTGGAAATAATTCGGATGAATCAAAAAATTTCTCAAAAGAGGAACGGGAATCGGATACCACATCTGAAAGTTCATTGGATGAATCGGAGACAGAATCATCAGAAACTACAAATGATCCATCAGAACTCTCACGAGAAGAAGGGTCAGAAGAGACGGACCAAATCAACGTAACTGATGAACCAAATTCAACATTTGAAACGGCACCATTTGAAACAGAAACAGCAGAACCGAAAAAAGACACAGCAGAGTCAGCTGAACAACAGACACCGGAATTCGAAGAAGAATCTGAATCAGAGGAATCAGACGAGTCAGAATTTACCAATAAAGAAACATTAGATGACACAGAAACAGAAGTATCAACTGATGAGGAAACTACAGAAGATTCTTCTGAATTCTTACCAAGAGGTAGCTCAGAGAAACCAGAAGAACTGGAACCTACATCTGAACAAACTTCAGATGAATCGGATGAAAATACTTCTGAACAATCTGAACCAGAGACTCAGAGAACATTAGATGAATCGGTGAAGGGAACTCAGGAGGAAGATGAAACTACAAATGAGCCAACTACAGAAGCAGAATCTGTATCAGAAAGTGCTTCAGAAAAACCAGAAGAACTAGAATCTACGTCTGAACAAACTTCAGATGAATCGGATGAAAATACTTCTGAAGAACCTGAACCAGNCCGAAGAAGAAGAGCCCACTACATCCGAAGAAGAAGAGCCCACTACATCCGAAGAAGAAGAGCCCACTACATCCGAAGAAGAAGAGCCCACTACATCCGAAGAAGAAGAGCCCACTACATCCGAAGAAGAAGAGCCCACTACATCCGAAGAAGAAGAGCCCACTACATCCGAAGAAGAAGAGCCCACTACATCCGAAGAAGAAGAGCCCACTACATCCGAAGAAGAAGAGCCCACTACATCCGAAGAGGAGATGCCAATAACTGCCGAAAGAGAACATAAAACGTTTGTATTGAAAGGATTACATGCGTCGTTGAATGAGTCAGCTAAAAAAGAAGAGCCCACTACATTCGAAAAAGAGGTGCCGAAAACTTCCGAAGAAGAAGAAAAAACAACAGTATTGAAAGGATTATATGAATCGGTAACTAAGCCAGCCGAAGAACAACCACCTACATACGAAAATGAAGATAATACATCCGAACTGAAAGGATCAGCAAATGATATAACTGAAAATGAATCGGAAACAAAAGAGGTTAATGGTATTGTACCAGAAAACAGTTCGGAGAAATCGAAAGAGTTAGAAACAAATGAGAAACCTGAACCCGAATCTCAAAGAACATTAGACGACGATACAAAACTGAAAGAAGTGGAAACTATAGCAAATTCATCCGAAGGAAGAAAAAGAGAAGAATTTGAACCCGATTTAGAAGACGGTTCGGAAGAATCACAGTACGATCCAGAGGAAACTAAAAGGAAAGAAGCAGAGTGTGAACAAAAGCCAATGGAGGGATCCTCAGAAATGCTTTCTCCGATAATAAAGAATAGCAGAAAGTATATCAACCCCCAAACATTTTTCATACCTGTTCTCAGATTTGATGGAACACCCTGTCTCACATCAGATGAATTAAGAGCGTATATTTATAATATGTTTTCTTGCCCGAAACATGGTTTGAAAGCTTTGAAAGTTTAATATCCAATTTTTTTTTTGTAAAAATGCAAATGATGCTGTGATATTTTTTGCGGTTACTACTTTTGTCGACAATAGGGAGAAACTATTAGAATAAGACTTTTTCATCTGTGATAAGAGTTTGTTAAGAAAAGTTAAAATTGTAGGTTATTTTATTGTGAAAATAACTGTTTTTTCCACAAAAAATTGTTGTTCTACAATAAAGTGGTATTGTATTATTGCTTAACTATTATTTTTTCTACAATCAGTCAAATTCTGTTTCATTGTCCTTTAGACAGTTTCGGACAGTTCATACTGTTACGAATCATTAACAATAGGATTATTTATAAATCTATATTTCAATATGTTCATTCTACGTTCTACGTGGACAAAGTTTTACAAAATCATGTGATAACTTGCTACCAAATGTCCACACAAATGAAAAAAAAAAAAATAGTGTTAACCTACAACACTCATGGTTCATGCAATGAAGAAAGCCGATTACTGAATATGATAATGTTGAAATGCCTATTCTTGGATCTGGATGGCGAATCCAACAGTTTCATTGACGTGAACTGACCAAGAGCAGGATTTGAAAAAAAAATTTTTAGAAACAGTTGGTGTATTTAGTAGACATAATTCACATTACTGTGCCAGCAATCAATACACGATATGAATAATAGTTTAAAAAAACTGAAAAAATGCTTTAGTAGCAACACAAACTACTTCTCTGTCACATAACAAATGTTGGAAACTTCTAAAGAATACAATAAAGCAATAAAGAGATATGTAGAACATGTATAGAGATGTCTTTCAGATACAAACTGTAAAAAAACTTATTGGAAACAACTCCTTCCATATGAAAAACAAAGGTCATTTTCTTGAAACCCCTTTTACTTGAACATTGAATTTCACAAAAATCCAAACATGCATTATGAAATTGAACAGATATCATCCATAGGAACTCTACCCGAAATATTATATGAAAATGCAATACATGTTTTTCGTTTACAAAAAAAAACATTGAGAATCATTGCAAATGCTCCAGCATTCGACTACTGCCAACCGTTGTTCATGAAATATAATATCATGCCTTTGCCATCTTTATATATATTTCATTGTATATTGGAGATACATAAAAATAACCAAAATTATGAAACACTCTCTCATAACCATGAATATAACACCAGATCTGGCGACTTATTGAAAATACCCAAATTTCGTTTGACAACATCCAAAATGAATTCTTTAAACTTGAATTTATATAATAAAATTCCGTCAAAATTAAGAAGTCTTAATTTTAATCAGTTCAAAATCAGAATGAAACAATATTTGAAATCTAAATGTTTTTACAGTGTGCAAGAATATTTACAAAATGATTTTTGACATTATCATAGTTGTATATAATAATAATATATATGAAGGGGAAGTTTGTTGTTAATCTTGGTATAGAATTCTTGTTGCAGATTTACGATATTGTTAGCCTTTTTTAAAATTGTATGTTTATGCTATATTTATTATTGATGTATATTTTATATTTTTGTTTTTTTAATATCTGAAAATTTGTTGTTGTTGCAGATTTTGAGTTTATCATTTTCAGACAGGTAGATAGACAGAGAAAAGCAGTAGGAAAACTTTCTATTACAACTATTTGATAGTTCTTTGACAAGTTTATAGAAACATAAATTGTCTATGTTGACGTTTACGTGGCATGATAAAGAGAAATAAAAACTGTCTAAGTCTATGTGACGTGACTATGTTTACGTGACTATGTTTACATGTAGGTGACTTGTTGTTTGTGTTTACATTTACGTGACGTGACAGTGTTTACGTGACTATGTTTATGTAACTATGTTTATATCTACGAGACTTGATTGTGTTTACGTGACTATGTTACGAATACCTATACGTATGTTTACCTGACTATGTTTACGCTTAGTGACCTGTTGATCTTGTTTAACTCTAGGTAACTTTACTATATTTACGTATACGTGACGTGACTGTATTTACGTGACTATGTTACGAATGTACCATACGTATGTTTACGTGACTATGTTTACGTCTAAGTGACTTGTCCATTTCTAAATCTAGTTGACTTTACTATGTTTACGTCTACGTGACGTGACTGTGTTTACGTGACCAAGTTTATGAATGTTTATGTATGCTTACATTTAGCCATGTTTACGTGACTATGTTTATGTGACTATGTTTACGTCGACATCACTTGATTGAACAGCTGTATTCTCACAAAGGAAACCTTTGAATAGTAACCCTTACTTCTTGTTTCAGTGGCAGTTGCTTTGAAGGACAGTGGCAGAATGGAAAAAGACACGGCTTGGGTGTGGAAACAAGGGGGCGGTGGATTTACAGAGGGGAATGGACACAGGGTTTCAAGGGTCGGTACGGTGTCAGACAGTCGAATACGTCCACGGCCAAGTACGAAGGGACTTGGGCGAACGGACTTCAGGATGGATACGGATCAGAAACTTACGCTGATGATGGTAAGATGAAACGTGTTAGCAGTTACTAGTCAATGTGCGTTAAAATTTTTAGAATGTTCAACATATATAATGGAAAGTGAACTATTCAAAACAATTCGATATTTGAAACTAAAAAGACATACACTAAAATAATCTCAGTAACCACAGTATATAGTTATTTAGTGTCATAAATTTATTCAATTCATCAAAGTGTGACCAAACTCAAGTTGGCCCTATTGCTAACGAGCTCGGGTCCATTAGAGAACCATTATTGTTTTCTCCGCTGATTAACGAGTGCTAACAGATAAACAATTGAACATCAATTGCCAACTCTTTTCTGAACTTGAAAGGTTACTATGAATTTCATTCTAAAACCAAAAATAACGGTGTAATGCGCCTTTTCCACTTTGCGTCAAGTTTGTCATGAAACTTAAAATGGAAGAAAAATTATTGATATCGTTTGCAATATTTGCTACTTAACTTTTCGTAAAAGTATTTGCTGAACGTATTTTATTTGTAACTTATCTTGGGAGGCCGTTTGAAACAATCAATTCAATGAAACTTGTCACTTTTGTCATTTTGACGTTTATGAAATCTCTTTTTTGAGTCATTGCTTTTCATGTCAGTTTACTCTAGTTACGGAAAGAGTTTCTACTCATTTAGAAAAAATGTGATATGCTTGAAGCATACTTAGTTCGTTGAGAAAATTCCGACCATGCTCTTTGAACTATGTGTTATGTTTCCAGAAAGAACGATTCTTGATCGATATTGTTTTAGTGGATTGAAAATATTGCGACCAGTTTTTTTAACGACAATACTATAACAGGTGAGCGTTGTTTGTAGTTTCTTAAAACCATATGGAATTTTTTTTGTTATCTCAAATAAGCTAATTGTCAAAGAGTGTTTTTTAACAAAACAGTGCGTCGCCACAAAATACAAGAGACGTAAATTATTTTTTAAGTGACCTTTTTGATTGTTACCAGAGAACCTGCTCGTTCTCCGGACATTACACCTATGGATTTTAATTTCAGGGGAATTTTGAAGAACAAGGTGTATTGCTACAATAGTATCGATGACCTCCAGATAGCGATAACGAAAAGAATGCATATAAACGATGGTCGAATCGTTTTAAAGACTACAAGAAAGGTTCTTAAGCTATTTAAAAACACAAGCATTTATTGACACTTTTCAATCAACATTTTTCCAATAAAAATGTTGAAATATAGGAATATTGACAGCATCAGTCATACCAACTATGCCATTAACCTTAAAAATGTAAAATACACAGATATATAACCAAAGAGCAGCTCGATACATTTTTTAACATTTTTATTGGAAAAATGTGGTTGTTGAAGTGAAAAGTGTTAAGGAAGGAGGAATAAGGTGTAAAGGTGACCTAGTGAATAAATGCTTGTGTTTCTAAATAGTTTATCTTGTGAAAAAAAAGGCTGAAAAGTTGCCCTTTTCTGAACTTTGAAAGCCGTAACTTTGTAAATAAGGAAGAGCGCCGCTTTTTTCTTCAGGATTCGTAACCTACGTATAAAATACGTAATTATACCGAAAACATTTTTCAAAATCGCCGGGTGCTCTCCCTGGGGAATTTCTAAGAACGAGGTGTATCACTACAATAGTATCGATGACCTCTAGATAGCGATAACGAATAGAATACGTATAAACGTATGCTATTCGTTATAAAGACTACAAGAACGGTTCTTAAGTGTGCCCTAAAATGTATTGAGCAAGAAGAAGATGTATCCGAAAATAAAAATAAATATTAAAGTAATATTGCAACCGATACGTATTATTTAATTTTGATTTTGAATTTCATGGCAAACTTGACAAAAAGTGAAGAAAGCGAACAACTACTGTGATAGCGAAACATGTTGTGATATATGTGATATATTCCTGAAAATAAAATTTGTGAGGGTCAAATCCTAAGGTGTAGTTTATGAAAAAACGACTTCATTTTCAGGTTTAGCATACAATTCATAATAACCTTCTATGTTCAGAAAAAAGTTGACACCGATTCATTTCATAAATTACATTTTTTGAGTTGAAATGAAAGCTGATTTTACTAGCTAATTTCATTCGAGTTCAGAACATTTTTTTTCACTCATACATAATAAAAATGGAAAATATTTTGTGAAAGCGAAGAATGAAATTACCCAATGAAATCATCTTTTATTCCAAGTTAATATCTAAAATGGGCCATCAAAAACCTCTTATAAAATAAACATTCTCAAAAACTTTTGAAAACAGTTCAAAAATAACGCTGTTTAGTATTCCACTTAAGAACGGGTGGAAGTGACGAGTCAGGCATTCAAAAATTCTTTCGTTACTCATCCAAATATTTTTATGAATCTCATTCATGAATGAAATGAAATCACACGATGACTTACTTATTCTCCATCCAAATATCGACAAAACATGGTGACTGACGACTCATTTACTTCTCAGTATGTGTGTTTTGATTTTCATGTGTCATCACTGTGCTTCTGAGAAGATGATCGAGGTCGTTGAGCGGTCAGGGATTATGTTTCCATGTTTCATTCATTTCAACTAGTACGCTTGTCAGTTGCAGTAACTCATATGCTGAGTAAGTAGTATGGAGTAACTACGAGAACGTTAAAAATCCCCCCTCTTAACTTTCGAAGCGGGCAAGATATCAAAGTTGTACAGAGTGTGCCAAATTGGACACTTTTAAAGGAGAACACCTGTTTTCGATTCTTCCATCAGTTCGGAGTTCCATTGTCTAATATAATATAAATTAATTTGATAACCCTGAAAAAAATCAAAAAGATTACCCGAAAATAACAATTCTAATTTTATTAAACAAAACACTGAAATTACAAAGAAATAACATACAACAACAACCAAACAAATAAAAATTGAAATATTAATAAAAGCTGAAAAAATGAAAAAATTAAAAATATTATTAACAAAAAATAAAAATATAAAACTTAAAAAAGTTTTCAAACCAAGTTATGTCACAACGTTTCGATTGTTAGTATCCACAATCGTCTTCGGGTGATAACTGGACTTATTCCTCCGAGATCTGACTATTCATATGTCAGTCGAGTGCTTTCACCTATCTCCTCTTCCCTCTTTCCGCTTCATTGGTTTTGGCGGGAGATGACCGTTTGGCGGGAGTTGGTCGTTTTTCGCTTGATTAGAGGTTTCCATATGTTACGTATCTCTACGGTAGCTTGACTAAATGCGTTGTTGGACAACATATACGCGGCTTCTTTGAATTTTCTCCTAAACCAGTGTTCCTCTTTAAAAATCTGTTTAAAATCTGTTTTAAAATCCTTTGTGGATGTTTTCAGCTTGAGCCCACTTGATGTTGTGTTGATGAGTCCAAACATGCTCTGCTATTCCGGATTTGCTGGTTTCTCCTCGCTGTGTGTGTTTTTTGTGCTCAGCAATGTGAACTTCCAATTGCTTCTTAGTTTCACCGATGTATGATTCTCCGCACTCGCAGGGTATCCGGTAAATGCAATTCTTGGAATCGCAGTATGTGTTTGGTGGCCTGGTTTTCGTGAGGATGCTACGGATAGTGTTCCCAGATCTAAAGCAGGTCCTGATGTTATACTTGGACCCAATCTGTCTTATCCTTTCCGATAATCCTCTGATGTGAGAAAGTACAAGTACTGGTTGTGGCGGTTTCTCTTCCTTGTGGAGTTCTTGCTGTCTTCTAGCTAAGGCCTGTTCTACCATCGCTTTGGAGTAACCATTCCGTTGAAGGTCATTTTTGATGATGTCTAGTTCCTTTTCGAGACCCTTCTTAATAATGCAGAGCCCAAAAGCACGGTCTAGTAGAGTCTTGATGATTCCTCTCTTAGTCGATTGATGGTGGTTGGATTTCTGGTTCAGATACTGTCCTGTGTGAGTGGGTTTTCGATATAAAGATGCGAGGAGAAACCAGCAAATCCGGAATAGCAGAGCATGTTTGGACTCATCAACACAACATCAAGTGGGCTCAAGCTGAAATCATCCACAAAGAGGAACACTGATTTAGAAGAAAATTCAAAGAAGCCGCGTATATGTTGTCCAACAACGCATTTAGTCAAGTTAGCGTAGAGATACGTAATATATGGAAACCTCTAATCAAGCGAAAAACGCCAAACGGTCATCTCCCGCCAAAACCAATGAAGCGGAAAAAGGGAAGAGGGGATAGGTGAAAGCACTCGAATGACCTATAAATAGTCAGATCTCTGAGGAATACGTCCAGTTATCACTCGAAGACGATTGTGGATACTAACAATCGAAACGTTGTGACATAACTTGGTTTCAAAACTTTTTTAATTTTCATTTTTTCATTTTTTGTCAATGATATTTTTAATTTTTTCAGTTTTTATTAATATTCCAATTTTTATTTGTTTGGTTGTTGTTGTATGCTATTTCTTTGTAATTTCAGTTTTTGTTTAATAAAATTGTTATTTTCGGTTAATCTTTTTGATTTTTTTCAGGGTTATCAAATCAATTCATATTATATTAGACAATGAAAGTCCGAACTGATGAAATATACCACGAAACATTGTCAACCACCTTCAAACAAATCTTGTTTTCAAACTAGATAGATGAAAACTGATGAGTGTGTCTGAGAGTCAAATTTTATGACAAATCGGAAATCGATATCTATCATCGTTTTTGAGTTACAGCAGAGTTTTTTTTTTTCAAAAAAGATCATTTTCGAAAAGTTGCTGTCACTGTTTTCCTGTCAAAAATTTCTTATTTATTTACTTATATATATACACGGGCAAGCCCAATTCAGATATAAGTAGTACAGTACTATGTAGTACTTGATACAATACAGTGGATTAAAGGTAAATTATAAGAATAATACAATTTCAAAGTAATATAACAAGTGGATTTTTTAAGGAAAATTAAAATGTATAACAATATGAACTAATATAATTCATACAGGCAAGTAACAGTAGACACAATACAACAACGTTAGTTAAAGAGTTAGCCAATCAAAGAGTTCTGGGAATAAAGCTGTTATATGAATAATTGAATCT